TGGCAATCACAATGGCAAACAGTCAATGGGTAAACTGTCGGTCAGTACTGATAAAGTCAGTAAATCGGTTCTCTCATTCTCGCATGTGTAGTTATAAGGTTAGCATAATCAGACGCAGTTGTCTCTTTTTGACAATCACAATGGCCCACATTTGAAAAGTAATCTGTCGGTCAGTGCTGACATAACGAATGTGAGTGTAGTGGTAATTTTGTCAGTACGTTCTTGCAGGGGGCTAATGTCAAAATCGTTCAACTTTTTTCCTTAATGCGATTCTAACGGGCTAGTCTCCTGCCCGCGTGATCTTGTCTTTTTGGTTCATGACGATTATCCTTGAACCCTCGTCCGGATTTCCCAAACCTTCCGGTTCGTATCGCTGGATTGTTAAATAAAGGCTAACGATGACCAAATGGTAGTACAATTAACTTTATTGTACAACAAACAATTTTACAATACTTGCTAATACAGTAAAAACACTACAATACTTGTTAAAACAATTACAACGCTTTACTACTTGTTAACACAATTAAACTTATAGCTTGCTTATTCGCAACTCGCTTCTCTGCTCAGTTTAAGCGAAGCGCACATTAGCGCGATTCCATCGTTGCGAATACGTTGCGAATTCGGCTGTTAACTTCGAATCCGCAAACGTGCGCACACTTGAGCGATTTTTTCGATTTCCGATGTACAATTCACTCAATTTTCCCTTTATTTCGTGTATTTTCGCACTCGGCGTGCCCAAATCGTACAAAATACTATTATTACGAACGTTTTTATTAGTTTTTGTACATTACACGTTTTTTTTCTTTGCCTTTATTGCTGTTATTTATTGCGTTTCGAACGCGTCAATAAAGAGGAACATTGAATGTTCGAAAAATTCGCAGCGACGGAATCGTGCAAGTGTGCGCTAGCGCATTAAAATGTATGGGTAGCATTGTTGTAATTTTTGGGCTTGCGGATTAGCAACGACAGAATCGCGCCAATGTGCGCTTCGCTTTATTTGTAGCTTGCTGACTTGTAACTCGTAACTAACTCACCTCGCGGTGGCGGCGCCCTTATATACCTGCGCTGGCACTTATGGCAACTTTAAGCTCGTCGGCGATTTCAAGCATCCGTTGTTGGTTACCCCAGCAACGAGTACATGTGTGAGTGTCGGGTTGAATGTCGGGTGCTTGAAGCTTGCCCGGCGACACTCAAGCATAAAGCGTCTACACCATTTGCAATAAAATTTCGTAGTGGGCGGACGTAAACATGTCTTCATCGGATGACGATTTTTTGCTACTTGCCACTAAAATCTTTATCTTCCGCGAACTTGCACATTTTACATATCACAACAAACTAACACACTAAAGTTCTGAACACATTGAAAAGGACGAGCTACAGACCACAGCTTCCAATTTGTTATCTTCATTATCTAAACGCTTTGTCGATGGCGACATGATTTCTTTGAACGCGGCAGCGACATCATGAATTTGTATGAGTTTGACATAAAAGAAGAGGAAGAACCTTATCTGTCGCCAGAAAAATAGAAATAGATCTAATCTGGCCACAACCACAGCCGTTGTTGTTGTTGTTGTAGCGGCTACAACAACCCCGCCCAGATCGGTTGGTATCTCAGTCGTTGTCGTCAAGTTCCACTAACGGCAACCCTAGGAAGCGTGCAGCTTCTGCGGGGTTTGCCCATAAGGACAAGGTCGTTAGGGATGTCGGGTTTGCCGGGCATGCGAAGAGATGTTTCGAGTCATGTGGGGTCTCTCCGCATGCCGGACATTCGTTAGGCACATCCTCATTCAGCCTACTCAGGTAGGAGTTTAACCTGCTGCAGTAGCCGGAGCGAAGTTGTGCAAGTGTGGTGCGCGTCTCCCGAGGCAGATGAAGCTCCGTCTCGTCGATGTCCGGGGGTGGTGTGCCTAGAACGGCATTCACAGGTCTAGAGTCTACATAACTCGAGACTGAGTCCCTGTGAATGCCGTTCAAGGCCTGTCTGTAGGCTGTCGGGTCCAGAGGTTGCTTAATGAACCTCTGGACTTCGTCCGTTAGTTCATATAGATGCCTCCTGACGTGCCTAGGCGAGGGCTCCTCTGCAAGCAGCTGTCTGCACGGGTGGCCACTTCTGTGGGTCCCGATCAGGAACTGCTTGCAGAGCATTATATTGTGCTCTTTTACCGGGAGCATTTGCGCCTCGCCGTGCAGGTGGTGTTCAGGCGTCATCAAGAGGCATCCCGTCGCTGTCCTCAGTGCGGTGTTTTGTGCGGTCTGTAGCTTCGTCCACTGCGTCCTACTAGTCCCAGGCGACCACACTGGCGCTGCGTAGTTCAAAACCGGCCGGCCTATTGCCTTGTATGTTGCCAACAACGTTTCTTTGTCTTTGCCCCAAGTACTGCCGGCTAGCGACTTGAGGACCTTGTTGCAGCTCTGTACTTTATTGACAATAGCGGTTGAGTGCGCAGAGAAGGAGAGCAGGCTGTCGAAAGTTACTCCGAGTATTTTGGGGTTATTCACCGTCGGAATTGGTGTGTCATCGACGTGAATCCCCAGCGGTAGCCTGACCTCCTTCGTCCAGGTTGTGAACAGGGTCGCGGAGGATTTCGTAGGGGAGAGGGCTAGACACTTTGCAGTGAAGAAGCGAGAAAGTTCGGAGAGATAGCCGTTTACTTTCGAACACAGGTCATCAATTCCATTCCCAGTCGCCATAATCGAGCAATCGTCGGCATAGGAGACAATCGAGACTCCCTCTGGTGGTTGAGGGAGCTTTGAAATATAAAAGTTAAACAGTAGCGGGGAAAGGACACCACCCTGAGGAACCCCCTGTTTTATTTTTCGCAGCTTACTCGTTTTGTCTCTGAACATTACCGACGAATGTCGACCACTTAGATAATTTGCCGACCACCGTTTGAGCCTCTGTGGGAGAGAGGAGGCCTCTATATCTTCTAGTAGCGTGGAATGGCAGACGGTGTCAAACGCCTTTGACAAGTCCAACGCTACTAGAATCGTTCTCTCACAGGGACGGTTACGGTTAAGGCCACGAGTTATCTGAGTGTTTATGGCGTTAAGTGCTGTTGTTGTGCTGTGCACTTTACGGAAACCATGCTGATGCTTCGCTGGGGTCAGGTGATTTGTGAAGTACGGGAGTAGCAAGGCCTCGAGTGTCTTCGCTACCGGGGAAAGGAGTGTAATCGGACGATACGAATCTCCTTTGTTTGCAGGTTTCCCCGGTTTGAGCAGTGGGACCACTCTCCCCACCTTCCAGATGTCTGGGATGATGAGAGTGGCCATTGACAAATTGAGGACCTCCGTTAGGTACGCTACCCCCGCAGGACCCAAATTTTTCAGCATCAGCATGCATATACCGTCGGGACCCATGGCTTTGGAGGCTTTCGCCTTCCCGATGGCCACCTGAACTTCACCGCAAGTGAAAGCAAGGGGGCACAATTTGTTGGCAGTTTGTGCATCAAAAATTTTTGATTTTCCATCAACACGAGCCGACAACAAGTACGTGTGACACGACGATCTCCGATTGCCTCGGTTGCTGGGGTAACCAACAACGGATGCTTGAAATCGCCGACGAGCTTTAGAACATTCTGAAGTTTTTCGCTCATTCTCTTTCTCTCGCTGTTCGCAGTGTTCATCCAACTTGACGTTTCTCTTTGTGGAACATTCTACGTCATTCTTCGAACATTCTGCCTATTTCTCGTTGTTCGCTTTGTGTTGCCGCAGCATTCGCCACATTATTTATTCTATTCAGGTTGAGTGGCAGTACCACCCATCAGCAAGTGTTCTCTGGTGAATTTTGCGGTGGGCCCAAGAAAAAAAGTAATATTTGTAAGCAAAAATATGGCAACACCAAAGTCTATCGGTTTTTGTTTTGCTTTCGCAAATCGCAATTTTTTCTAGTCAGCTGATTTATCTATTTATTTTGTGGTAAGGAAATAAATTTTTTTGCATTACTGCGCAAAATTTTCAAACAAATAATACACAAATCATCAAGCAGGTTAAAAGGATTATCTTGCATCTAAATGAAGCTGAAATGAGCTTTTTACTAGAGCTTATACAAGCTTTTATTCAAAAGATGCTTGCCCTGCTATCGTTTGGCCAGAAAACTATTACCAACTCGCTAAGTATTTATATAAAAACAAATACGGGACGCAC